AGTCTTATGCCACCTCCCTTTCTCCAAGTGCCTTCACTAAATTTCCTCACTACAAATCAAATATCAGGTTCTTTTCTTACTGCAAAGTGTGTTTACATGGGTAATTGCTCACTAGAGTTGATGAGAAATCCCCCAAATATGATTAGATTAATTTATGTAGTAATTCATTTTACTGGCATCTGTACTTTGAACTTCCATTTTTCGTGTTCGTGTGTTAGCAAACACATTTCCATCTGGCATAAGCAGGCAAAATGCTCCATTTCAAGCAAAGGCATGCCCATTTATTATGGTGGTAAAACTGCAATCTAACTCTGGCAACTCTCTCTCTCACACACACACACACACACACACTCCTTTGCTCCCCTGAAGATTTTATATCTGTAAATCATTTCAGCAGCAGAAATATAATGTATATATGTACAATTTTTATTTAGTTCGGACTTCTCATCCAGGGTTAAATACTACCTTTACTGGTGGAAGATGGGCTGGTTAGACAGGAAACAGAATTAACCATATTTGTGGATTGGGCAGAATGCCTCACAAGAGGCACACCTCATTGTTGCTGCAAAAAGAAACATGCCCACAACTATTATGTTGCAGTCAGCATATATCTAAGATGGCTACATGCCTGATCGGACTTCCCCATGGCCATGGTACAAATGTAATTCCAGGAAACTCTCCATACTCCATACTCTTTTGAAGCATGGGATTAGAAGTACTGCCCTACCAATGCACCAAAGCAGGAACAGTTAAGCAGATCTGTTTACCCAAATTTCCTCTGCCTGTCAATTGAGTCCATAGAATATATGGCAGGAACAGGTCCTTGTGATGTAGTCTCCTGGCAGCTTGAGCACGTCTGGATACTGCACTGATGTCATCAGCAAAATATTGTTTGTGCTTTACCTTGCTACTAACTGTACTAGACTCGCATCCTCGATTGATGGGTCTTGAAGAGTTCAGCTGCTATCATCTAGTTTCTGCTGTCATCTAGCCTGTCCAGTGCTGAATATACAGCATTTATTTATTCAATTCATATGCCACCTTTCCCAGCAGAGGCTCAGGAAGGCTTATAATAACAGATCACAATAAGTTATAGATGACAAGAAAGGAGAATGACAAGAGAACAAAAAGGGAACTAGGATATCAACATAAAACAGGCAACCTCTAAATAGTATCTCGACCCAGCTTCGTTGGTTAAACACCTGCTCAAATAGAAGGGCCTTACAGCATTTCTGAAAGATGTCCACACTTGGGTTCTGGTAGGCCTCAAGAGTTGAAGGATTATCTTGCAGTGAAGAAGCCTTCCATACTGCTTAAAGTATTCTTTAGTGTACCTGAAAAGGATTTCAGCCCACATTTAATTACTACTTGCCTAAAGAAGTGACAAAGCTTCCCATCTTCTATCTTCTCCCCCATTGAACATACAGTAATTTGATTCCCTTTACTTTCCCATGTTAACTTTCCTGTCTGAATTCTCAGAAGTCTTGTACGCTTGAAGTTCTTATGGAAGACTAGAAGCAATCAAAGATTAATCTTGAATTGCTGAACACCTTCAGTCATCATGGTTGCTTGCCTTTCGGGGAGTTGGGTTATCCTTATATATGTATGAACAGGAACATATCCCATTATGAAAAGTGGTGGGTTTATGATCATCATATACTTTACCTTGTTTCAGAAGGCAATGGGACATTACTTGGAACTACCCTTGAGCAGCAAGCTTGAGCCAGTAATTCAAATTCCAAAGAACGTGGATAGATTACTCTAAATATATCCAATCTAATGGTCCTAAAAGCCAAGACATTGGAAATGAGCATGACTAAAATGTCTGGTAGTTCTGTATCACTATTCAAGTTTTCTTGGCTTTGTGGTTGGATTACATCAAGATTTTTGAGGAATCTGTTCCACAGCTAGAATTACTGCACTAGTAAGAATCATGCAGGAGTTACCAAAAGCAACATAATTCTATAATTCTCTCAGGATAACCATAGAGATGCTGCATTTTTCTTTTGAAAACATCATGCTGTAGCTTTTAATTTTTCACCTGTTTGTTACCAGAGCATATAGCACAGAAAATTCAATGTAGAAGCAAATAAAATGTGGGTTATAAACATGCTTTTTCTCACAAGGAAACAAAAAGGGAGTATCAGTGTAACAGAAGTCAGTAGCTTCAGGGTTCAGTTATATAAGTGAAGCCAGTTCTAAACTCTTGAATATACTTGCTCCAGGAAGTTATTTAAAAATAAAAAAAATCTTTGATTCCACTGGCAGGGCAACTAGTCTCTTCTTGAAAACATGACTGATACAGAGCTCTTGAAATGTCATTACTGTGGGCCCAATCTTGCAAGACTTACTCGCATTAACAGTCCCACCAAAGAATTAACATTGGAAGAGAAAGGTATTAAGATCCATCCATGGACCAGTGTATTATACCAGACAACATGGTTTGCTCTGCAAGCCATATTGAATTGAACTGAACATCAGACAATGAAAAAAAATTAACAACAAAATCTATGACTTCAGGTGCAGGCAGAAGTGACAATTTTTGCCTGATCTGGCCACAGAGAGCAGTTTAGATGTGACCAAAAGTGCACGGCTGCAAACAGCTTCAAAAATGGCTGATCAGGTGAAAATCTGCCCCCTCATTGCATGAGGTATAAGATAGGCATTTAAAAATATATTGGCTTCTGTAACTCGCATCTGCCCAGCTCCCAGCCTGTTGCTGTTTTCAGAATGGGAGGGCGGGGGGGCGGAAGGAGAAGAGTTCAGTCTGGGCATTTTTCAGCCCACCCAGACTGTGGTATAGGTGTACTGGAGCCCTCACCCCACCCGAAGTGGGGGGGGGGGGTTCCAACTTACCCACCCCATCCTTCAACACCTGCTGGGGCATCCCAAGAATGAGCTCCCTCCACTGCCTTTCCTCCCTCCCATTCTGAAAACAGTGCACACTGGCAGAAAGCCTGGCCACTGCTATGGGATCCTGGCTGCAGGCTTAGAGCCAGTAGCTAGGTTCTCCCTTCCTCTCCCCCACAACCAACAGTGAGCTTCTGTTTGGTCTGGGATAACCTTGTAACTCAGAATGATTTCTGGAAAGTGTTCTGAGTTACAGTTGAGACCAACACTTCTCCTGCTGTATGCGTATTTAAGGCCAAAACATTCTAAATTTAAAATGTATAAAATAAATGACAAAAGTACCTCAGCAATAACTTAAAAGGAAGATGTTTTGATTAAACAGGTAGGTTTTACAAGAATCAGAATAAAAAGAATAGTTTTCAGAAACAGTAGTGTTTCAGAGACAAGGGATCATTAGTGGGGCACTTAGAGGGGGCATAAGAACAGCAGCTGCCAATGTTAGCCTGGCAGCCTAGCGCACAGCACCTGCTTATTACCCCTCTGTTCAGAGAACACTGTCAAAATAGAAAGAAAATCCTAATATAGTCTTGTAAGGCTTGCAAATGTATTCCTAGGTATAGATGCTCACATGTACATGCAATCTACATAGATTGTTCCTTGCCTCTGAAATAATGAGGAACACTGTCAGCAGAAATACAAAACAAAGCACATTTCTGACCCAATCTAAACCTATGGCACCTCCACTTAACTTCACACTGTATTATGTAACAATTTGAAATCTTTTCTCCCTGTAATTCTAGCCTTCCTCTATAGTCATCCAATGACAGTCCATTAATTTAGGAACATAGGAATTACTGTATTGGATCACACATGCAGTCCTAAATTTAGCACCCACTATCTTTATAGGAAGGGATAAAGAACCCTGCAATAAGAAGTTGTAAGATAATCTGTCCCTCAGCATGGGGTCATCATCATGTTTCTAAGAACTCATTTTGGCTTAAGCCTTGAGGAAGCACAAGGCTTAATATCCCTGCCACCAATATTCCCCAACATAATGAATCCCAGGTTACTGGGGTTCCCCACCATGCCCTATTCTATACTCCATATAAAAATTTACTGCATGAATATACCAGTTCTTCTTTTCTCATTTAGGAGGCACATGCAGTGTGCTGTTACTAGCCCGTGTGAATACCAATCTTCTAGGTATGCAAGCTATCAAAACCACGTGCAGCATTTGCCCCCAACTTCAGGTCTGGACATCTTGACCTCTGCTGACTCATCATCAGGGCATCTTTCTTGTCTCAGATTCTCACCCTATGAGCCATCAGTCACTAGGCCTTTCTTCTTTCACCTTCGGTAAATCCTCAGACACATTCTATACCAGCTGAAACAACTTTTGAATCCCCATTATGTCTTGTAGCTCATCTTGACATTCCTGTTTTGTTGCTTACAAATGTGGGAAAACTTGTACTAAATATATGCACTGACCTGCTAAAATGTAAATCTACTTACTTGCCAGCACTGAAGGTAGGCAGCAGCCAACTTGACATGGGGAAACAAATGAAATCCATCCCCCTGAGCATAGTTTCAGAAGTGAAGAGCTCAGTCTGAACACAATAGTAACACTGCAGAGCAGGATTTTCCTATCGCAATCTCCAATTAAGCCCTGACAGGTATAAGAGGGGCTGCTCCCTTTAAATATATTCAAGAAAGGCTTTAGTGGGCTGCATACTTTTTATTCCAGCTGGTAAATAGAACTGTATATATAGTATACAGGGACTTTGCTGTATTGCAGCATCAACAACTAAAGAGCTAACCTGAGTAACAGAACTCCCACTTTATCAACCACTGCCTCTACCCCTTAATAAAGCTACCTTCCTAGACACCGACCTGTCTAAAATACAGTTATTGATAATGTCTTGAAAAATTAAAGCCATGATGTCCTTGAATACCACAGGTGTTTTCTATAAAAAGTAGAAGAGCTAGTGTGACACACCCAGCTCCTGGAAAGTGATAGTACTTGGCTATTTGAATGTCCAGAAATATATTTTTAAAGAAAACTAGCTAGCTCAAGTTATTTCCTAAACAAAACAAAATTAGACCATTAGGAACTCTTGTTCTTCCTATTAAAAAAAGAGACTCACACAATCACCTTTCTAGAATTTATTATTGTCTTAATACAGAGAAGTCACAACAAAAAAAATCCTAACACCACACGCAAATGATATCATAACCAATTATTTAAATTTCATCAACATTCATTTGTTATGTACATACACTTCCCTTTGCAAAAGTGCAATCCAATAATGTCTCAATGAGAAACTTTATTGAGAAGTAGATTTTAGAGCCCCCTCCCCCCAACCCACCCCCAGAGATTACCTCACATGTTTGTCCTTAGTTACCTGGTATAATTAAAAAAAACAGTATATGAAAATAAAGACATTGGGTTAGATGTTATTCATCTTAGGAATACTCAATGAAAATTGCTTATTTCCTTCAACTAAGCCACCCTAGAAATTCAACCCTTTATACACTGCTTAATACTAGGCAAATTAATGAAATTTTGTATCTCTGTATCTCTTAGCTCAGGCAATAGGGCACTATATCTTTAGTGTCTTTGTAGCACTAGGTTAAAGAAGAATTTCAACCAGATTGTGTGGGTAGATGTCTAATTACCTATCAAGAAAGAGATTGTGTTCATTACCATTACCAAAATCTAGTTTTAGATGTTCTACTGATGGATGAATTAAATTTACAAATTCAAGACTACGATGTCTACCTGAATGCACACATCTCCCCTGGAAAATTTATTTGGCTATTCAGAGAACTAAGTGACATATGCATATCTCCCCCAATAATATCAAGAGAGCACCATGCATGTGGGGTGAGCAGAATGAATCCCCAAATCCAACAGGCTACGTTCTGGTTTACAAAAGCACATTTCATGCACATAATTTTACTCCGACCACAACATCAAATAAAAAGATTCAACCCCAGACAAATGAAATGAAAATATAAAACTTGTGCTAGACAAGCAAAGCAATCAACTTTTGAGGTTATTTCCCACTTGAAAAATTGAAGGGCTCCTGACACTTTCCAGCTCTCATCAAGATGCGCAGCAAAACAAATGAAGTCTTTAACCTACATTTTAAAAGCAACCATAGACTCCATCACTGGTTCCTTCTATCTGTATACAACTCTAGCTCAAATCTGTGAAAGCAGACTCTTGCAGATTTAACTGCAGAACTTGGGTATGTTAAACAAAATATCATATTAGGTAACAACTTGAGACCCAGTTTTCAATGTTGGCAAGAAATACAAAAATAATTCTCTACCAATTAAAGACAGTTTACTTTGGAAGAGATATCAGGAGGAGTACTTTTACAGTTCAGCTGGTTTCTATCAAGGATACCTTTTACCCATGCAATGTTAACATCCAGTTGAGAGCTGCAGTATGTAAGATAATATGCATTCTTTCAAGCAATGGCTAGGGCACATTTAATAGCAAAATCAAAATAAAGAGCTTGGTTGAGAACTAAATTGTTTTCTTATGATAGTGTTGCATCTAAAGCTCTCGGTACATTTGCTTAAGATGTTAAACATGCTTTATCCCAATATATTGTGTGCTGTATTCTTGGCTTTGTTTTGCAGATATTGTATAGCCTTTCATACAATTATTATTTTTTTTTTAAATCAGCCAAAGCTCTTTTTGCCTATGCTCTTATTACAGATTGTCATACATACATGTATGGATAGGCATCTAACTGGTTAAATACTGAAACAAAAGCAGCAAAAATTAAGCAACTGTATGAAAGCCAAATTAACTGAAAAAAGAGGGAGGGAAGTGATTGGCAGTGGTGGGGGAGGAGAAGAGGGGGAAGGAGCCCCAAAGAAAGCAAGAGCCTGTCTCTGCTGCCTTATACCATGCGTAGTTGTATGGCAGCTTTAGAGAGCAAGATAGAGAGACATAAATAGGAAGTTACCATTCCCACTGACGCCTATTCTACTCTGCACAGGTGAGAATCGCTACCCTTAACCCAAGGTAGAGGAGTGATACAGTTACAAGTGCCCCCATTTGTTCTCCTTGTATTACAGCATTCCTCACTGCTACATGATTTTAGAACACTAAAATGAGTGCAGTATACTGTACCCTCAAACCACTCATCATACCGTTAGGCAAAAGAGTCAGATTATTTAAAAGTAATTAATCATTTAATCATGGAGAATACAAGTGACTCCTGTGTGTCAAAATCAGTTCTAAATGTTTGAGAATGTCTTCCCTGCAGAGTTCATTCAAATTACAGCTTGAATGTTGTCCTACATGCATCTTCCATTTTCACCCAGGGTATACCACTAACCACTGCTATTGACCACACAGAAAAGCCTCTTTCTGGACACATTTTAAGCTAAGACTACCTCACCCAACTGTGGGTTTAGGTTAGCACACAGACCCACAGAATATGCTCCAAATGTACACACAAGTGCAGAAACCATAAGAACACATTAATAAGGAGAGGATCATGGGCGACTGGTGCCTCCCGAGTCTGGGGAGGCACCAGATCGCCGACTGGGGGTGGGGCGGAAGAGGAGGTCCCCCAGCAGCTGATCGCCGAGCCAGTGGCGAAACTGGAAGCGCACTTCCAGTTTCACAGCTGGTGCTTCCAGGAGGTGCACGGCCAAATCTCAGGGGATGCATGTGCACCTGTGTGTACTCCCTACGCATAGCCAATGGGGAGGATTATTTAGTATTTAATAACCTAGCCAGATTATTCAAGTACTATGTAAACAGTATTGTATTTAAACTGGTAGAAAGCCTACCTATACAGAATGTGACAGGTTTTCATTTTTGCTTGGTTTGGGGGGTTAGGCTTCCATTATGGGGTGTGCAGCATGTCAAAGCCATTTAAAATACATACGTCAAACAAAACACATTCTGAAAAATTCCAATACAAGAAAACTGTGTTTTGTTTGAACACAGCATCTTACAGCTTCTAAAAAAAATATTCTATTTATGCAACAGCAATTCTTGACTCAGGAAAAGAATTCACGATGAACATGGCATGAAAATAACTTAGACTGATCTTATAAAACCAAGTAATAGATGTAGAACATTTTATTTTTAAATTTCTGCATTAAAAATGTGGAAACCAAGAAGCAGAACATTGACAAAGGTTACCCCTCTGATACAAATTAATTTTCTGGTGTACAGTCTGCTAGGCATAGGTATTTAAAAAAATAATTTTACAACATTTACTTTTTTTTTTTCTTTTTTTTTTCTTTAGTATAGTCTCCCAGTCCTCAGAATCTCAACTAGACTTGGATAGTTTTGAAAGACAAAGGTGCAGTGTTTGCTTTAAAATGAATTCAGCCAAGTCTATACTGATGATTAAGAGTTGACCTTAAGGCCTCGAACCTTTATACACCAACCATATGCACTAAGTCCTTTAGCTTGATTCCTGGCAGCAGCCCAGCCCAACCCAACTTTGGAAGCTCTCCTGAAGTTTGGGGCATGAAATCAGCCCCACCCCTGCTCACTTCCCACTGCCACTCTTTCTGCAGCGTGTTTGGAACTTATGAGGCACCACAGATCACCAGCTCCTGCACTAGTATCAGCAACCCCACAGTTCCCTGGTTCTTGACTTCCTCTCTCCAACAGCCCATAGGCAGAGACAAGAAACCTGGAGATCAATACCCAGAAGGGCTCTATAAGACAACATGGAATACATCTTGCCACTATGCTCAAGCATTAAACAACACAATATGGATGGTTTTGGCACAGGCTGCGGGATATGATATAGATGGGGAAGGGCATCTCAATAGCTCAGGCTTCTTGTGGGTGACCTCAGTGTTGACTCTAAATATCAGTGCAAACATCCTCTTCATGACACACACACACTAAAATGGCACAAATACCCCACAGATCTTACAGATCACACTTGAGGGTCTTCTTTCAAAGTCAGACATACTGGTCTGAGGCATGCTACCTGAAAAGGTCCAGCCTCAAGACGCAAACATGCACACACTCCTCTCTATAGCTGCTTTGCCATAGACCATACCACCCTCTGTTCCTTCTGTGTGTAACAGCAGATTCCTAAAATATTTAAAAAATAAGAATACCTTTAAATAAAGTGTTTTAAAATCTCAAACTTGTTTTGGTATAAATCATTTACCCGATGGCTAAAATTACAATACTGGTGGAAACAGTACTATCTCCATATGATCTGTCAGTGAGGGTAACAGATGTCAAATATACACTGCAGGAAGACACTATGCCAAAAGTGGGAAAAAAAACCCCAACATTTTTTAAAGGCTGCATTTTCTGGCATAGATTTACATTCACTCGTCACAATATTTTAGTTTACTCAATTCTGAGGAATCTAAACAACAGATCTGCTACTGCTACTATGAACTTAGGGACAAATTCTGCTCCCAATGGCATCAATAGCAAAGACTCTAATAAATTCAGCAGTAATAAGACTGCACCCTTTATGAGGCTTTCCTCTTCCCACCCAGCCATATGAGCAACAGGCCCATAAGATCTCTCATTTCCAACCTTTCCTATATCATGATAACATGAAAAATAAAACCAGTCCACTTCCAGCTGAATTTTCCCCCATTCTTAGGACATACTTCAAGGCCATTAATTGGCTTTCCTACAACCTTCAACTGACATCTGCCAGGAGGACCCTGGTCTTAACAACACACATATCTTAATGTGTACACAGACAAGGAGCTGCTCTTTCAGTTAGAAAAGAAATTAATTCTGTCACAGAATGCATCCTATAAAAGATATGTAATAAAGTAGTAATACCCATAAAATAGCTATTACTAAAGCAAAGCTTTTGTCAATAAGCCTCCAGAACTTTAAATGAAGAGAATGGCTTCACAAAATGGTAGTCTAGATTTCCACAGTGTGGACACTGCTGGACGTTGCTGTACTCTGAGAAATACTGCATCCCAATCCGTACATCAATGACTGGCTTTCCGCAGTGCTTACAGTTCAGTCGAGCCTGTAAAAGAGCAGAGAAACACTTCTGAAACAAGTAACTACGCCACAGAAAAATAAGTTATTTTACACAGTTCATTCCTCTTTCATAAAAGGAAATCAGGCTTCAATCAGGAACTATATCTAGTATTATCTGATGGTGAAGACAACTGCTTGGAATAGTAACCTCCATTAACTGGGACATCTCCATGTGATTTTGGATCCACTCCTGTAAAGCACTGGATAGTTTCAGCTACCTTTTAAGCACTCTTCAAGACTGAGCCCTTAGAGAACATCTTCACAGCACCATGCAGATAGATTGTTCAGAACTGGCTCAGCATACCTGCGTTTAGTGCAGTGCATGTCTGGGCTAATATGGCTGTAACTGCTGCCAGAATGTAACTGGCTTGTTCAAAGCTGCCTCTGATATCTCTGTGCTGTACCATGTAAATATAATCAAAGAGAAAACCCACGTGATCCTGATGGTAGCCAATTACTCTGCATAAAACTCCAAAAGTTACTTCAAAATCCCCTTTTATTAAAAAAAACAAACAAAAAAAACCCACCAACCCTTCTCCAAATGCACTCAAAGTTCCCCTTTGTCAGGCTGCCACAGCATGAGTGTCCATGTTTCTGGCAGACTTGTTATCACGTAAAATTTTAGAAACCTAAATTACTTAGGGAATTTTATGCTGCATGCAATTCGTGGGAAAGCTACCAAGCCTCTTGCCAGAGGTGAGGAAATGTTCATTTTTTGATTTTTTGGTGAGTCCTAAAGTTTGGTAAAAAGTATAATGTGGCGATCAAAGCAACTGGGAGAAAAAAAACTTCAGCTAATCAATAGCTTTCTAGTTAATCTCATCAACGGCCATATAGTAGGGCATCCCAACTAAATATGGTACATTCTAGGGAAGTCTCCAAACAGTGCTAGAGTCCCCAGCATAAGCAGTATGTACATTTTAGCAATATAATACTTGAATTTGTAAGTTAACTACATTTTGGCAAGTCTAAAAACAAAAAGCAAATGGCATATTTGAATGTATGCACCTATACAGACTTGATTAATGAACTTGAAGTCACTTCCAAAGCCATTAGTACACATCATGAGAGCTATTTTTATATGAAAACTAACTGCTAAGAAATCAAGGGGAGTTAAGTTCTTACTTGACATATATGCAACATATCAACTTTAAATGCATAACTACCGATTTTTATATTGATTATATTCCTAAACTAGACCCATGTACTTCACATTATTCTTCCTGTCTATGTACCTTAACTTTGAAAAGACACTAAAGAAAAGAAAAAGTAAACGATTTTTAAATCCTTGCAACATCATACTTAATCTAAAGATTCTTACTGTGATGCTATTTAGGTTTATACTTAAACATAATCTTACTGTGCTACACATCAACATTTTAATATTTATGGATTAACAAACTTAAAGGTTACCATATTTCAGTAGCATGATATGGTATTATACAATGTATTGTAATTTAAAATCTTTTTCAGATTTTGAAAACTTACATATGAGCTAGATATTATTATAGTATAAAAGCATTTTAAAAAAATCCAATTTACATAGGCCCTACTTTAATTGGATAGATCTGTGAGGCAATTAAAAAGTAAGTGTCAGGATGAGAACAGCTAGAACTATTGCTGAATAGAACAGATGGCTAGACAAAATAAGTGGGTCTAAGGAAGATATTGGGCTGTGAAAAAAGTGAGGCCACTCGATGTACAAGGCAGCAGGCTGCTAAAACCACAGCAAGCAAAGTGGAGGGGGGTTGGGAGAAGACAAATATAAGAACGGAAGAAACATGAGGCAGAGCATAGAAGGAAAGAGGACTGACATGTAGGTAGGGTCCAAAATGCACAATAAAGCCCCAAACACAATTTAATGGGTACTTTGGAACTTCTACCACAGGTCAAGAGCAACAATGACTGCTCAAAGTGTCAGATTCATTAGATCTTCACTTGGAAAAAATATATAAATTGTTTAAATTATATATTGTTTATTACATGTTTTATGTTATATGTATATATTCAAATGGTTTATTATATCAGGGCTGGACTCAAATGATCCTCCGCGGTCCCTTCCAGCCCGAATGTCTATGAAATCTATGAAATTCAAGTAAGAGAGCATTAGTATAGTTTTACGTATAAATAAATAAATAGATAAATCAGTCTTGTCTTCTCTGCTAGGACACCAGAGATCCTAAAGCAGGGGTAGGCAACGGTTTTTGGCCCGAGTGCTGAAAAAACCACAATGTCTACCTTGTAAGGTGCCGGAATGCCACAAAAACAAAACTGGGCTGGAGGGGGTACATGGCAGGATGCACTGCATATTTAATACTATTAATAATCATTAATGTTGCATATTTTATTTTTATATATATATATATATATATATGTTTTTTGTTTTTTTTACAGTAAATAGAGAGCTGGTGTCAGGTGAGGAGCAGGGGCTACCTCAGGGCTTTGCTACTCGGGCCACAGCGAGGGGCCCAGCAGCACCGGAGGTGGGGCCCAGCTGGCCTGCGCAGCTCCACGGGGATGGGGCACAGCCACCCTGCCCACGAAGGGACACTGCCTGACTGGGGCAGGACACTGGGCTCAGGGGGCTCCTGCTTGGTTCTCTGTGTGTGCCGGGTAGAGTGGGAGTGGGAGCTGCAGCCACAGGCTGTTCCCTGGGCTCTGGGAACAGCTGCCGCAGCTGGTGCTCAGGACCAAGCCATGCCGGGAGCCTGCAGTGCAGCGGCTCTGTGCAGTGCCTGCCCTAGCCCTTGCCCCTTGAGGGGAGTTGCGGGTGGGCAAGGCTGGGACCTGGGCTGGCTGAGGCAGCTGTGGTGGCTGTTTCCAGGCTCCGGGGGCTCCTGTGGCCAGGCCCCTGCACCGGGGACGGCCCTGCCGTGCCTGTGCTGCAACATGCAGGGAGGCCAATCCCAGAGAGGGAAGTCCCATGAGCCCAGTGTCCTGCCCCAGCCAGGCAGCATCCCCACGTGCACAGGGTGGCTGCGGCCCATCCCTGAGGAGCTGTGCAGGCTGGGCCAGGCCCCACCATGGGTGCCACTAGGTATCCTCACCTGCCCACCCACCACAGCTCAAGCCCGCAGAGCCCCAGAGCAGCCCCCACCTTCCTAAGGGCCTGACCAGACTGGCTTGCCCGCGGTACCTCCTCCCACACTGCCCAGACCCTGTCCCGAATGCCCAGCCCCAGCACTCGGCACCTCAGTGCTGCCCCAGGTGGAACAGCATGTCTGCCTGCCTGGGCAGCTCCCTCCAGGGGCCAGCTGGGCTGGAGGGTGCAGCCTGGGAGCACGGGGTGGGGGCAGTAGAGAACACAGGCAGGAAGGCTGTCTGTGTTCTTCTGGCTCCACCCTGGTGCCTGCCACGGTGCTATGACTTGTGGCTGCACAGGAGAGCTCAGAGCAGCAACTTAAAAAAAACAAAACAAAAACAATCTCTTTGCGTGCCTCCCGATGTGCCAGGAAAACGTCTCTGCAAGCCACTAATGGCACACGTGCCAGGGGTTGCCGACCCCTGTCCTAAAGCATTCTCTGATGGAAAGTACATGTATAAGTCACCGTGGTCAATTTTCCCTCCTCCAGTGCCCCTCAACCTCCTTATGTCAGCCAGCTTGTTAGCTTCCATCCTTACAGTGGCTATATTATCATAATGCTGCTTATATAGTTCGTGAAGTGCTCTGGGATTTTTTGGAACAAGGTACTGAATTATTTAGCTGAGAAGTAGAAAATCAGTTCAGAATTAATTTACAAAGCAACTCTTAACTCTGCCCCTTTGGGTACTTGCCCACATGTATATGGAAATTTTAAAGTTAAATATAAAGGAAGTTAATGCACATTTGCATGATGAGCGGACAGTCTCTTCTCATCATGCAAAGGTCTTCAGGGCAGGGACCGTCCCCTTTCATGTTTTATGTAGAGCCAAGAATTTGTGGTATTTAGCATTAATAACATCTAGAAACTGGAAAGTCTTATAAAGTGAGTGCACAAGAAAAGTAATTAAATACTGAATTTAAAAAAATCTATTTTTTCTTCCATTGTGATGAAACCAGTCTATGTATCCTTGGATATGAATGCAATAGAGCTACATATTGAACTGAAAGGACCTATTTTTTTCTATTTTCTTTTCTGTCTAAATAACAGTTCCATTGAGCCCCTCCACTCACACCGGCAGCTCAATGCAACTTGCATACAATTTAGCTCACCCTTAGTATATACTTAAGCAATATGCCAATGAGCTACTGCCAATGTGACAATTTTGAAAAGCCTCTTGAGGCTTGATGCTGTGAACTGTGAAGCATTCTCATCAATAATCAATCACATGTTAATCTGCAACAACATGGCGTGAGATTTTCCTATGCAAGGAAAATCCTACAAACTGGGCTGCTGTTATACATATCAAAAATAAGTTCTTTCAAAATGTGGTATTATTTCAAATATACACACACATTCCAAAGTTAAACAAAAAGGAGTGAGGGGGAGCTCCTTTAAGACTTTCTATTATCTCTACCTTTCTGCTATGACTACCCCTTGATAAAGGCGTATTTAGAGACTTTTAGTTGTCTAAACTAATTTGACACTGTTTGCGGTAACTACCATGGTGCTATTAAGATACTATTAAAGTCAAAGATAATATTAAAGTAAACACTAATGCAAAAACTAGAGGTGCATGAGATACTCTGTAGTGCTTATTCAATCTGAGTATTAAAGGTTAATATATTTAAATAATGTTTAAATAAATGAAATTCTATCAACTAACAGTTATGGTTCTATCAACTAACAGTTCCCCAATTTTAAGTTGTATTATTAGACACCTCAGTGCTTTATAATTTCACCATTTAAAACTATGAAGGACCATTACAGTATTAGTCTGACATCCTCAATAACACTGGCTTGTGCTTGTAGGCCATCTGTTTTTCTGGAGGAAGAGGAAGGAAGGAAAATTTAAAACACCCATCAGTTTCACTTACCAGTTGGAACTTCTCCTTGCAAGCCTTGTTATGATTAATACTGACCTGACAACAGGGAGAAGCCGCCAGAATATCGTAGGTATACATAGTTCCCAGCTGGTGCCAACTTCCATCCCATCGGGACTTGCACTTAATGCAGATGATTTTGTGAACTCCTTCTAAGCAGTCTACACAAACAGCATAAAGGTGCATAAGCCTTCCTGTGGACAGGAAACACATTTCTTAAGGAAAGGACATATTGTCAAAAGATCAAAACAGACATTTCCTTTAACGTGCTATTTGCTGTTTGTTGCAATACAAATCATACCTTATTAAAAAATGCTTCTCTATTAAATTGAATAGAGCTTGGCCCAACGTATATTCAAAAGAGATCAAAAAAACCCTTTACAAAAAAAAAATCCCAACAAAACAGCCGCAGGGATGTCAGATCCTTAATCCTCTCTTTACTAAAAGTTATTAACACAATATCAAATGATGGAAAGAACAGTCACAGCAAACAATATACTCAACTATGCTGCAAAAGTAATATTTTACCCTTCCTCGGTTCCCACCTCAAGAAGGAAATGTTATAACTGGCCAGTTCAATCTGCAGATATTCATCTTACCATGTTCTTCTAAGGAGGGAGAAGTAAGGACCTGACATTGCTAACATGAGGAACAAGCGAAACTGAAAATTTTGGTTTTGTTCAGCAGTTCACTTTAAGGTGTGAGTAAATAATCTTTACTACATATTATGTTTTCAGATTTATACATTTATGTACACAGCTGACTCAATACATTCTACCTTATTTTAACTTTAAAGAATCTCCCTACCCTCCAATCATATTCTGAATTCCTATCACCCTATGGGGTGAATTCCCATGGAGCCAAGCAGTTCAGACCTTATAACTGAATAGTTAGGCCATAAAAACTTTTATATGATTCTTACTAACGACTTGTTCCAAGAAGCAAATCCAGATCAAAATATAAAAAACTCCACATACATTTCTGGTATTCAGTGTTTTGATCTGACGTCTAGTTTAATAGCCAATGCTCCATTCTCTGCGCCCACATGCTATATAAATAAAAAATTAGCACCACATTTTTCATTACTGGTATGCAAGACAATGTAAAACTAACACAATTATAAATATCAGCTACAAAAGAATTGTGGGTTGTGCTTACGCACTTTTCACGGCAGTCTATGATCTTAAGCAAGAAGGTGTTGGATGTATGCATAATTCATATAATCAATATGTATGTAGCAGCCACTTTGAAAACTCAGTTAACATACCCAAAATGCAGAGAAGCCAAAAACACATCTGATCAGTCTACCACAGTTAAATTAATATTTTTTGAAGCAACCTTCTTAGAGAAATGGAGAACAAAACCCTTTGAAAACCAATTAAACTCCCAATTATTTGTAACTATGAACACGTAAAACTGTAGTTATTTCAAATTAGCAAAAGCATTCCCCATCCAAGGAAGTGTTTAAATCTCATAGCCTAAGTGAACACCTGGAATTAGAGTCTTCAAATAATTCCATGCATTTACAAAGCTTTGTGTGCATGACAATATTATTTTTTTCTCAGAAAGTAACTTTGGGCATATTAGCTGCTGCTCCAAAGCAGAAATACTTCATTCTCCACTAACCATTTGACATTCCTCATCAAAAATATAAAACCAAACACCTGACCTCTAACATGCCCACCGAAAAAGAAACAAGTATTATTTGTTTAACCCATGAAGAAAATACTACCGTAAAAACAATGACGTTTACCTACAATTCTAAACATCCACTAAAAAAAAAAAAAATATCTTTCAGTAACAAACCAATCTACTGAAGATAAGGAAAAAAGAAGAGGAGAAAAAAAAAGCAATGAATTATGTAGATCCTGTCTTCTGAGCCAGGATTTCCACAAATTTACCAAACACTTGGAATGTAAAGTTATTTATATATATATATATATTTTTTTTTTTTTTTTAAGTAATAGTTATGTTAGGCAGAGTTTCAAACTGTCCTTAGTAAGTGACAATACATTCACTGTTGCCAAAACACAGTACTGGCAAAAGCACAACCATACTGCACCTTTCTCCAAAATGGCAATAAGCATTTTGATTTGTAACATAACCTCATTAGAGTTTACTTCGTTTATTGATTTTGTCAGATTTATACGCCACACTTGCTAGATCAGGGAGATTATATACACTGGAGCCAACTCAATCTGGTAAATCCATCAAAACTAAAAGGTGACTTCATTATCATGTACATGTAACAAGGAGAAAATACTGGTTTATGGTAGTTTATGTTATGAACCTTAGTTCATTTGCCTTTTATCTATCACTAGTTTTCCTCTGAAGTACAGTAGGTATTATAAAAACAATATTGTTAGCATAGACGTGGCTTTGCGACTTAGATGCAAAAGTTTTAAATACACCTCATTATCTGTTAAATAAAAAGGATCTTAGATAAAAGAGTATTATGACTTAAGTGTGGGATATAACAAGCTATAAATGAGAAAACAGCACATATAGCCACCCAAGAAGTGGCATGCTTGACTCCCACAGTACCTATTTAACTTCAAATCCCTATTCTGTGCTGCAGCAATAATCTTAACTTTCAAGTCCAAATTCATGATTTTGTCTCAGACTCAAAGCAAACAAGCCAGTGTGCACATACTGGCTAAAAACCTTTACATACTGCACTAGAACCCTAAAGGCAAATTCCTTGCTTGTAAAAAAAAAAAAAAAACTAAATGCTAAACACAGAAGCAACAAGGTAAATCAGTGTTTAGACCTTTTCTTTCTAAATATTGTTTCAGATTTCAACCAGAGTCATATGAATGTGAATTTAGACTTTACATAATTACTTTTAAAACACTGCCCGGGGAGACATCAGAAATGCATAGAAAGCATTTCCATCTTTTAATGAGAGATCACACACAACGGACAGACAACCTGTACCTTGAAGGTGACAGGGAACATCATATTCAATTTCATCGTGTCGCGACGGACTAAGAAACAGGGTTCCATCCACAAGTGGGAACTGTTCAAACACTGGCAATGTTCTGTGGCACAGCGCACAATTTACAACATTTCTGTGGCTGGCACTAAGTGCTGCAAGAATAAACTTCCGAAGGTCCTCTCCTTGACCCACTTGGGCATCATCTTCCATCCGAACATGGAAAGTATTCAATTTATGCCTTGGGATGTGAGTGAGAAGTTCAGACAGATCAAGCCTCCTCAAAAATTGCACAGGCGCATCAAAATGTCCTGACCTATGTGCTTGCAGCCCAGCTGCCCCATAATCAAAATGGGCATTTCTGAACATCCCGCCACCAGCCATATTCTTTTTGTGTGGTTCCAGGTGAATGGCGTTTTTTAAAAATTCTCCTAAATAGCGTGAAGAACGGGGACCACTGAAATGTGCAGGGGCAAGAATGGAGTAGCCTGTAGGAGGGGATTGGCCAGGAGAGCCACAGGGAGAACGAACAGCATAGCCCCCACTAACTACACCTTTCTCTTGAGAGTTCTGTCTGTCCATTGAATGCCTTCGCTGAATATCATGACTTAAACCTTTCTGTGGCTTGTTAGTAGGCCTGCCCTTTTTAGTATCTTCTGCAGACTCTCCCATGGACCTTCCTGTGCTCTTCTCTGCCACAGACTTTTTCTTCTTGTCATCCTGCATGCGTTTCACTTGGTACCAATCAGTATCTTTCTTTAAGTGGCCCTGTCCACATCGGCAGGAGCAAAAGCGAAAAGCAAGATCATATCCTTTCTTTGTCCACATGTTCTGGCGACACTGCTTTTCATTCCAACTCCTTGCTCTGCCAATACAATTAAACTGGACAAGAATGCTGCTTTCCCACTCATAAAAACACTGAAGGTGCATCCAGGTGCTGTAAGGGCAATGTTCATTGTTGCATATAACCTTCTGGTAGTCATCCTTTTCAAGGTCAACAGGCCTTCCAAAACTACATATCAGTGGAGTAGCACAAGGTGCTTCTGTGGAACATAAAACAAATATATTAATAATAAACTTACCCTCTGTGCAATTCGTTATTTGCATATTTGTTACTTATGTGTGTATCACTTGGCAGGACAAGGCCTGTTACTTAACGTTCACTTTACTTTCATGCTGAAGAGCACTAATCATGGGCTAAGATTATGCTAGCTGCAAAAACAGAACAAAGGTGGCCCTTGACCCAAAGAGCTTATAAATACAAGATGAGAGATGAGATGCAGACAGAAGCACAAGAAAACAATGATAACATGGGAAATGTTACAGTCAGTCGTGAAAGCAGGCCCTGGCACACCTGTTGTCATGAATCTGTAGGCACAATACCAAAGGAAACATTTCAAGAAGGATTTGGAGAGGAACAAATAAGGCAGATGCTATGGGGAATGACTCTGTGGCAGCACAGGAGAAAACACAAGGGTATTAAATTTTCCAATAAGTGTGTAAGCAATGGAGGCTGGCTTCATGGCTCCTCAGAGGGGGAAACTGACCCTCTGGTAATTAACAAGAGATAACAAGGTAGAGTTAAGCTGGGAAGAGCTTTTGAAAAACAAGCGGCTTATATTTGAGAGAGTGAAAGCAGATGCTAGGGCAGGTTCTCAGACAAGTAAAAAAGCCACCATAATTTCCAATTTATCTACCCTCAAGGTTTTACAAACTGATAGACTTCAGCAAAGGATAAGAAACCAGTGATCATGCAAAGTCCTTGCAGGATCAGATCCTAAACATCTGTGTAACTGGATGCTTGCAGTGTCCCATTCGACTATTCAAGGTAGGGCGGGGAGGGAAGGTATGCAAAAAATGGCAGGGGGAAAATCCTCCTATTGGTCCATCTCAACCCCGTGAAGAGATCCACCTCTACAGGAAATAGTCTCCGAACTATGTCAATCATTTACCTCTCTGTTCTCCGTGCCAACAAGGGTGGAGATTAGATTCTCTCCTACAGTTACCTTTCTATCAAGAACTGGACTAATACATTTTCACCATGGTTTTTTTCCAAACTCTTCTCTCTGAATTGACAAAGAATGACATGCTTCATTTCAGAATGCATCTGACATTCATATGCAAAGTAAGCTAAGGGGAGAAGGAAACAGGTCCTCCTGGATAGTATAGCTAGCATCAGAGGGAGGAACCAGGGTATTCCTCTGGCACTATTTAAGAAGTTCACCCTGCTAGAATTAAATCTATTATCTTACTAGTTGTCTAAACTCTAAAGCAACTCTTCAGCTCTGTGGACCAGATGCTACATGAGGGGCTGGCCCTCAGGTTAGACCCAGCTTGGGGTCAGTGCATACGGTCAGTCCATCAGCATGATCTGGCTGCAGCACAACCCCAGGCACCAGCCCAACCCCATGCACTGGACAGGGCTGCAGCACAACACCACGTGCTGGCCCAACAATGCACACCAGGTCCAGCTGCAGAGCAACTGCGTGGCAGTGCAATTGTGCATATGGGACCATGTCATTCAGACTGCAAGTTCCCCACAGGTCCAAAAATTTGGTAACACGGGAGAGGTGGCAGCATTACTTGCAATTAATGCTGCTCCCCCACCACCAAATTTCTGAACTTAGGGGAATCTCCCTGTGCCTAATGAGACAGCTCCACAGGTCAGATCCAGCCCATGGGCTGGAGGTTGATCACCACTAATCTAGACTTTTGAACAGCCCAGAAAGAATACTGTAAGCTTTTGTTTTGTGTTTTCAGGTGTTTACTCTTCAATAAATAGTGTTTGGGCCGACACCAATTACTATGACTTCTCTTTAAGCTGCTACTGAGTATTGTTGAGCATATATTTTGAAGACCAAGATGAGAAACGATGACAACTTATCTGCCTTGAGCCAAAAACTGCCAGTTTCCCAGTTCACACAGCTTCTCCCACCCTTGCTACTTATTTATTATTGTCCCCTTCCAGTCAGTTACAACCATATCACGCCAGTCAAGCAACTCCTAAGTAGATGTTTTTCTTCTCCTGGCTATACGGCAAGCAGTTAAAACTTTAAGATACTGTGCCTGATATTTGGAAGTGTAATTTAATTATAGCATCTAAAGCAATAACATTCAATTTATCTCAGAGGGGCCAATTAAAGTTAAACCATCAAAGGCACATCATCATAAACCTGATGCTGAATAAGTGATAAAAAAATTACTAAAAAAAACCCCAAACCACTCACTTACACATTCCCAGCACTCATTTGTACTTGGATGCAGTTTTCTTAATACCATTTCTAAGAGAAGAAGACTAAAAGTCCACTCACCCACCCCCAAAATTTAAAATGCTCAAACATCTGTGCATACAAATACAACCATAAATGCCTATAATTTAAAGGCTTTTTTAATTTTAACAAAGATCTCAGGTTTGGGGATTTTTATTTTTTTTAATTAGAACACCCTTTGGAACAGAATACAAGCATTAACTCTGTTTCTTAATACCAGTATAATAGTTACCATTAAAGCTAATGAAATGCTTTCTTTGACCCGCTCCCACCCCCCTGCAAAAAAAAAACAACAACACCCCCCCCCCTCCCCTCTCTCTCACAGTACCTCCAGTTTACTGGATGCAAAATAAATAGATTATGTATAATCATATAGAGAAGCCTACCCACTGTTATGGGTCAATGGTAAAATACTTGTCTGCCACACGAGACCAGGGTTCAATTCCCAGATGCATATATAACCAAAGCCATCAAGGCACCAAACACGGACTCAGTCTGGTCCCTGGATTCTGTCTCAATGGCCTAAAAGGGGAAGGAAGGTCTGACCAGCCTCCATTAACAAAACTGGATTAATAAGTGCTAAAAATAAAAAAATAAAAAAAAAGCCATGATGTATACAGAAGGCTGCCAGTCAACTTGTTCACTACTGTTGCTGCTGTTTGTATAGAATAAGATTACAGCTGAAGGAAAGGGAATATTTTAAAGGTAAATTGCCAAGAAGATATTCTTTTTTAATCTGGTTGTGTGCCTTTTTGTTACTGTTTTATCCATCATGAAATCTGGATGGAGTTTGCCCTCTTTTCTGCTTTATTATCCCTCTTCATCCTCAACCCTAAAAATAGCAGGGCTGTTAGAAGTACCCTTTCTTTTTTTCCCCCCTGAAGTATACACTGAATATCTGAGTTTTATTGCTAAATCTCAATTCCATTGAAGGATGAAGGAAAAGGAGCACTGAAAGTAATGCTGATATCTTCTGACATTTAAGTTTAAAAAATGTTTTATATCTATCTATCCATCTCAATTATAGGAATGTGAAGGCAATGCTACAGTTAACTTATCAGAAGCTAAATATTAAAAAAGAGAACACAGCTGGCCAGGGACATTTACCACATTAAGCTCAAATGGGTTTGCTTTAGAACTCAAACTTGACACGTACACGTCTGAAGCGTTTTTTGCCAAACTTAAATGCGACTACGAAATAAAATTATAGATGAAAATTCTAATTATTCACGCACACTAAAGATTTACCTTACCAACCAAGGGCTCCCATCCTGCCCGTCTGTCAATGGCAGTGCACACAGACACAATTCTGGGATAAAAATGTATGGCTCTGACCTTCCATTATGCATCTTGTGAACTGACTCCAAGATTGATAATGTAATAATGAGATAGAGAATGGATGGGACTTCAGACATGCAAAGTGTCCACAGCAAGACACCAATAGCCAAAAGCAGCTTTTTATCAACATAAATCTGCTTCCAAGTAACTGTCTAATCATGCACTTATTTAACAGTTCAGTATTATAATTTTAGTAGCTAACATGCACTTAGAGATGGATGGATCATCTCCATTTCTGAATTAACTGACTGGCAAGATCAGTGAATGCTTGCACGTGCCTATATCATCTTTTTAGTTGTAGATTTTTTTCCGTAGGCAAAATTTACAGATACTGGCTGTATATAAACTTACATTGCTTTTTTGCCTACCTAAAACTCCCCCTACAGCTTTGAAGGAGAAGCAAAGGGTAACTTAAAGTTGAAACATTTAAAAAAATGTTAAACTAACAAAAACGTCTTCTAGGTCTGGATGTAGCTGTACGTCAGTAAACAAAGGGATTCAAATGATGAAGCTATTTGAAGCAAGTGTCCACTGATCACCTTAGCAAGTTTTGCTACATCATAGAAATCACAGTAGCTAGAAGCATATCCATCCGCTGATGTAGTAATTTTATTTGGTATAAATCTTTCAAACAGATGTAAAAGAGAGGATCTAGTAAGGTACCAGACAACAGTCATAAACATTAACATTGTGAATAAAAGTATACTAAGCCCAAATAACTCATTGCTTAAATGAAGCATGTTTTGGTTTTCAGACTAAACAATCTGAATTAACTTTGCAATTGGAAACAAAAAAATGATTGAAAACTGGTTTACACTGAACTCAGTTCCTACATACTTAAACTACAATAAAAGCTGGTGATTAAAATCGGCAATTTAAAGCAATCATCCTTGATGAAAGCTTATTAACATGTTTCTACTGTGAAAAAACAGAGCAACAAATATATATAAGGAATCTCTCCCACTTCCATAGTTAAATGATGTAAAATGTACCCTGTTGCAGTTCTGGTTTCCATCAAATGGTAATTAACCAAATCCAGTGGATTCTGGCTACTGTGGACCTGGACCAGGTCAAGGAAATGGTATAAACTTTGGACCTTCTCTACAGTTTGTCAAGGGCTTGTCAGTTGCAAAATATTCTGTTCTCAACAACATCTTCTCCCAACTTCATCTGCCTTCAGGATCTCCATCTTAATTATCTTGCTGCCAGTTGGTTTATGTCTCAAACTACAACTTGCATGAAAAATGTGACCAAACTCCAGTTTGGTTGACATGGAGAAATTACTATTTCAATCCTACCTCTAATTACATCACAAGGATAAGTTAATTTGAAATTGCAAATGTTTCCAAGTCCCTTAATGAATCCTATCCTGTGCTACTCCACCATCCCACTATTTATGCTGCAATTTTAATAGCCACGCAAGGCTAAGGAGAAATGGATCAAACAGGTTTCAACCTTGCAAACACAGACTCCGTCAACAAGCTCCATCACAACCGTGAGTAACAAATAACACTTCACTCTACCTGCCGGAACAGTTCTACTCACCTGATCTCATAATCATATAGAGAAGTGCTGGGACCACTCTCTGTCACCTGCAGGGCCTTGGAAGTTTCCCCCACAAGCAACCTATCTCCATTCTCATCCACATCAGACTAGTCACATGTACGGTGACCACTAGCTGAACACCATGTCAGAAACTAAGGAAAAAGACAGAACAGGATAGTTGCACTAAGCTCACTAACCAACATCTAGCATGCACCCTCCTCAACATCTCAACATACTCAAGCATACATGTTCACCAAAGTAATTTTTAATCCTGTGGAAAAAAACAAACAAACTTCTAGATCACATCTAAAGGAAGAACTTACAGAGCTCTTTAAACAGTACAATCACAGATTCACAAGTAACTAACTACCAACTAGTAGAGGTGCACAGATACATTGGTCCATATTGTATCAACAATGATAAAAGGGAAATTGACATTATTGGCAATCAGGTTTTTTTTGGCTGATGTGGCCAATAATGTTACCAATAAATGTTGCATGCATGTGCACAGCTGCAGCATGCAAGTGGCCAGGAAAGCAACGCAGCAGCTTGGAGAGCAGCATCTGGTGGGTAAGCCTGTGTGGGGGAAGGGGTACAGGGCAGACTGAGGCCCCCATGGTGAGGGAGGGAGTTGGGCTGGGGCAAGGGCAGGGGAAGGTACTGCCCAGCCACGGCGGGGCAAGGCACAGGACAGAGCTGCGAGCAGCTTGTCCTGGAGGAGTGGTGGGGGCATCTCCCACCCCTGGGGGAGGCATGGCCATGTGGCCGCCAGATCTGTGCACAGGGTGAGGGTGGGCTGCCTGCTGCGGGATGGGGGAGGTTTTGGGCTCTTCTCAGCATGGGGGTTGGGTTGAGGCTGCGCTTGGGGCAGGTGGCACCGGGAAGGGAAGCTACAGGGTAGGCTACAGCCACCCCAAAATTCCCTGTAGCTCTCCCATACCTCCCCCTCCCAGTGCTGCTGCCGCCTACACCAAACACAGCCCTGGTCCAAGCCACCCCACCAGGAAGAGCCCAGCACTGCCCCCAGCCCCAACCTGCAGCAGGCAGCCCACCCTTACCCCTTGCACAGATCTGAGGAACATGCTCCCCATGCCTCCTCTGGGGGTGCATGCAGTGGAGGGAGCCGCCCCCCTTCTCTGAACAAGCCGCTTGCAGCTCCACCCTATGCCATGCCCTGCCCAAACAGCACCTGCCCCAGTACCTGCCTCTGTCCTAGACCCATTCTCTACCTCACCATGGGGGCCTCCATCTGCCCCTCCTCCCCACGCCTGTCCCCCGTCCCTCCCCCAAACAGATTTACCAGCCGAATGCTGCTCTCCTAGCATATTGGAGAATCAAATAGGTATCAGCCCAAAAATCTTTATCAGTGCACCCCTACCAACTAGAGATCCTGAATACCTCCTGAAGAACATGCTGGGAAGAAGCCACAGAAATAGACATGTCAAGATCTAGAAGGAAGCATGAGCAGGCCTTCAAAAATTTGGAGCAGCACAAAATTCACCACAAACACAGCTATAAAAGGTCTTTCCGAACAGTGCTGTAATACAAATACCACATTGCTAAAGAAAATAAAAACTTTCGGAGGGGGGATTCAATCAAACAGAAGAGTGGTATTAAACATAAGAAACGCTCCCCCCCCCCAACCCAGCTAAGAAAGAGAAATGCACAAAAAAAATAAATAAATAAATAAAAGTCAATAAAGAGAAAGCAATGCATCACCAGACAATGCATTGCCAGGACTCCTACAACTTCTTAAGAAGAAAAGTCAGTGAACCATTTATGTTTTGCATCGTACACATATAGTGAAAAGCTAGAGACATAGTTACACTGATGGCAAAACAACACATGTGATCTGATCAAGCAGATTTTGACCAAGTTGAAGCAAACGTGACCAAGTGCTAGTGCTCACTATGCATGCTGAAAATGAACTGCAGAAGAAAAGAAAAACATCCTGTGACAGCCTACAACACAATTGGGCACACAGGTCTGCTGTACAAGATGTCAAGAGCTCTTCCTAAAAGAGTTCTTCTGGCAACTGATTCTCCTAGTCAAATCAACTCATCTTTTTGCATGGTAAGTGGTTGACAGATGAGTCAAAGCCAGCTTTCCTACTTGCATGCAAACTCTACATGGCTCAAGTAGCTTAGAAGATTAAAAAAAGACCATCTCCTGAACAAACTGGCAGAATACAGGTAAGGAGTCAATGCTCAAATACTACATAATTCAGGGCTTGCTGTGACCCAGATAATAAATGCCATGCCCCAGTTTAATGAAATTCTGTCCACACCAGACCAGCAGCCACACATTAATCATATCATGAAAATCTTCACAAACGATGAAGCCAAAAAATGTTATAGGTTACTGGGCCTACTGAACACCAACATCAGATGCAAGCTGATCACCAAAGTGCAACATATGCAACACTTGTCACAGTTTTCAGAACATATGGGACTCACTTGCTGCTGACTACTTGCTGGAAGCCCTGTCTGGACACTGAGAACACCACCCATTCAGGGAGACAGAGAGAATGGGAGATGGTTTCTGCTGTCGCTAGGATCTCCCACACAGTCACCAGGCCAGATTAACAGCTCCTTGGTTTTGGGCTCCTATAAGGCCACTGGAACCAGCTTAACAGGCTTAGGTGTGGTATGGTGCCAAAACTGCTTATGCCTAGACATCTGGGACAGCACACTGCATTCAAACAACTACAAAACAAGCTATGTATGTGCATATTAACTGCTCTTGTTGTGTCAGACACCCTAGAAGTCTTCTCCGGCTAAATTTGGCTAACTCAGAAAATGGCCCCTATAACTGGTGTGTGTGCGTGTGCATGCATTAAACCTTGCCTGGCTTGCTCTGCCCACATGCCACACTGCTGTGAGAAGATATCATTTAATCATTACATTCCCTCTTCATGCTTCCCACAGCCTTTAAAAATTTGAAGCCCTTCAGTAAATCAACCCTCACATCTCAGGGAGGAAAAATACCTTTAATATTAAATGTAAATTACAATGCTACTGCTCTAACAGTTTACTAAACTCTTAGTGCTTTTCCCAACAGACACCCCAGCAAAGGATCAGTAGTAACCGGTTCTAGTCTTTCCCCAAAGATATTTCACACTATTAACACAAAATTCTAACTTCTGAAGTGAAGAAAGGAGAACCTTAAGTAAAAGGCTACATTATGAAATAACTCATTCTTAAATTTGAGGAACAAATGCAGTTCAGATTCACTCAAGGTCAATGCTAGCATTTACTAACCACCCCAGTCCAACAGCAAAAAGTCTGATGGGGGAGAACAAACAAAATAGGAGATGCCACAAGGTGTTTGCCACCTCTTTTTCGGCATGAGACATCAGTTTTGGGGCCATATAGGCCACTCTTGAGTGCTTTGGTTGAAGAAGTGGTATATAGCAGTGATGCCTAATGTTTTTGCCCCATGGACAAGATTCAGCCAGTGGTCCCCATCCAGCTCAACCGAGTGGAAGGCTCAACCCAGGCCCAATTGTAGCTGTACAAAAACAGCCTCATCCAGGCTGATCCAGCTGTGTGGGGCTTGGAAATTTTGCAACAGGGGAAAGTTGGTAGTGTCAAGTGCCACCACCCCTCTGCTGCCAAATTTCCTGAGCCATGGGGAGCCCTGCAGGCTGAATGCCATGACTCCATGAAACAGATTTGGCCCAAAGGCCAGGGTCTAAACACTCCTAATGGTTGGGGTTGCAGACCACACTCCCTAGCTAGTCTCTCTTAAAATCCATCTGCAGCTTCCAGTGCAAACCAAAGCAGCCCTTTCCCAATAGACACCTCAAGAAAGTCAGTGCTAATGGTATCTTGTCCTCCTCCAGAGAATCCCCTTTTGAAGAACACCACTCATTGCTGGGACAAAGAACTGAATTTGCATTCACTGCAGCAGAAATATTTTCCCTTTCTCACTCTCAGACTAACGGAAGATGCACTTTCTTATGACATGTTTCAAGAATATTACAACAGCCTAAATGCATCCTGTTTCCAGAGCTCTGCACTGTACCAACCATGAAACTCCAGTGCTGGTTAGTCTTATAGTCAGAATAGAGCCAACCTTCTGCATTTGAACTTCCAGTTGTGAATTTAACTATTTCCTCAAAAGTTCTGCGCTTCTGTTGTCCTGAATTTCTATTATGACTAATTAGAAGATTTTTTTTTATATATATATATATATATA